CTGTGGTTATAATATATAGTGAATTTACTGCCATGTTGGGTGGATCGACAGCGGAAGGGGACCAGGCAGAGACGAGGCGGGACCGGGGGGGGAGGGGGGAAGACACGGGGAGGAGGGAACAGGGGCGAAAGAACGAACGAACGAACGAACGAACGAACGAACGAACGAACGAACGAACGAACGAACGAACGAACGAAGAACGAACGAACGAACGAAACGAACGAACGAACGAACGAACGAACGAAACGAAAGAACGAACGAACGAACGAACGAACGAACGAACGAACGAACGAACGAACGAACGAACGAACGAACGAACGAACGAACGAACGAACGAACGAACGAACGAACGAACGAAGAACGAACGAACAACGAACGAACGAAACGAACGAAAACGAACGAACGAACGAACGAACGAACGAACGAACGAACGAACGAACGAACGAAACGAACGAGAACGAACGAACGAACGAACGAACGAACGAAAGAACGAACGAACGAACGAACGAACGAAACGACGACGAACGAAACGAACGAACGAACGAACGAAAACGAACGAACGAACGAACGAACGAAACGAAAACGAAACGAACGAACGAACGAACGAACGAACGAACGAACGAACGAACGAACGAAAGAACGAACGAACGAACGAACGAAAACGAACGAACGAACGAACGAACGAACGAACGAACGAAACGAACGAAACGAACGAACGAACGAACGAACGAACGAACGAAAACGAACGAACGAACGAACGAAACAAACGAACGAACGAACGAACGAACGAACGAACGAACGAACGAAGAACGAACGAACGAACGAACGAACGAAGAACGAACGAACGAACGAAACGAACGAACGAACGAACGAACGAACGAACGAACGAACGAACGAACGAACGAACGAAACGAACGAACGAACGAAGAACGAACGAACGAAACGAACGAACGAACGAACAAGAACGAACGAAACGAACGAACGAACGAACGAACGAACGAACGAACTAACTGAAACGAACGAACGAAACGAACTGAACGGAACGAACTGAACGAACCGAACGAACGAACAGAATCGAACGAACGTAACGAATAACAACGAACTACGCGAACGAACGAACGAACGACAACCGAACGAAACGAACGAACGAACGAACGAATCAAGAAACGAACAACGAACGAACGAACGAACGAACGAAACGAACGAACGAACGAACGTAACGAACGAACTATAAACGAACTAACGAACGAACGAACGAAGAACGAAACGAATGAACGAAACGTAACTAACGAAACTAACGACGAACGAACGAACGAACGAACTAACTAACTAACGAACGAACGAAGAAAACGAAAGAACGAACGAACTAACTACCTAACTAAACTAACTAACTAACGAACTAACTAATAACTAACTAACTAACTAACTAACTAACTAACGAACTAACTAACTAACTAACTAACTAGCTAACGAACTAACTAACTAACTGAACAACAACCAACCTAACTAACTAACTAAACTAATAACTAACCAACTATACTACACTTTGTTCCAAAATTTAACCATTTAATTTTAAATTCCCTCCCCATTCCCTTTAGATCCTACGACTCGGAAGAAGTCAACAATTGCTGAAACTTTATAAATGATTCCATAGCGTATGGCATTTTACTTACAATAGCTTCGGCCGTAATGTTTATATCGGGCATATTCTCTGTAGATATTTTCAATTTGGTCGCTTTAAGGCAAGTGACCCGTATGCGCATCAATCTCTTTCAAGCGGTAATGAGACAAGATATAGGATGGCACGATTTGGCAACGAAACAAAACTTTGCCCAAAATATGACAGAGTATGTTAGAAAGAATTATAAATTTTCTATAAATTAATTATTCTACTTGCAGTGATGTGGAAAAGATTCGCGATGGTATTTCAGAAAAAGTGGGTCATTTTATTTATCTGGTAATAGGTTTTTTGATCACAGTGGCGATTTCTTTCGCCTATGGTTGGAAGTTGACTTTGGCCGTTAGTGTTTATATACCCATAGTTATTGTTCTTAATATAGTGGTGGCCAGGGTAAGTAACCGATTTTTAAAATATATTATTTGTTGATTTTCCAATATGTCGACGTCCAAGCACGCTCCTATTTGAATGTAATGTTAAAGGTGAAGATACTTGGACGTCTTTAACAAAAATACATAGATATTACTTGAAAATGATATCCAAAGGATATCGAAATATCGGAAAATAAATATATTGTAAAGAACTAGACAGATCTCTTAATTTTAATTCCCTTACATTGTTAATTCTTTAATGCCATTTAGTTCCAAAGTAAACTAACTACCAAAGAGCAAGAGTCTTATGGTAATGCTGGTAACTTGGTAGAGGAAGTCTTAAATGCCTTACGTACTGTAGTGTCCTTCGGTGGCGAGAAGAAAGAATCCGAACGTTATGATAATTTTCTAGTACCGGCACGTAAAGCCAGTCAGCGTAAAGGCGCCTTTTCGGGTCTAAGTGATGGGGTTTTAAAAAGTATGCTGTTTCTCTCCTGTGCCGGAGCATTTTGGTATGGAGTAAATTTGATCATCAATGATCGTGATAAAGAGGAAAAGGAATATACTCCGGCTATATTGATGATTGTAGGGATTAAGTACATAATAATGTGAATCATTATTAATATTTCTCTTTTATTAGGCCTTCTTTGGCATTATTATTGGTGCTGATAATATAGCTAGAACTACTCCCTTCCTGGAATCCTTTGCCATGGCTCGTGGCTGTGCTTCGACTATTTTTAAAGTTATTGATTCACAATCTAAAATAGATCCCATGTCAACTGATGGCAAAATTTTAAATTATGGTTTGAGAGGCGATGTTGAATTTTCTGATGTTTTCTTTAGATATCCATCACGTCCTGATATTATTGTTCATCGTGGTTTAAATATCAAAATTAGGGCGGGTACTACGGTGGCTTTGGTGGGCAGCTCGGGTTGTGGCAAATCTACTTGTATACAATTGTTACAGCGTTTCTATGATCCTGTCTTTGGTTCTGTTTTACTGGATGATTTGGATATACGTAAATATAATATACAATGGTTGCGTTCCAATATGGCTATTGTAGGTCAAGAGCCGGTTTTGTTTTTGGGTACTATAGGTAAGTTTGGTATAGATTAGTTTGTAATCATCTATATTTTCTTTTGATGATCATTTCAGCTGAGAATATTAGTTATGGCAAACCTAAAGCTACACAAAAGGAAATTGAGGCAGCCGCCAAAGCTGCTGGAGCTCATGAATTTATATCCAATTTACCAGATGTAAGTACGATGATAACGAAAATCTCTTAGTGTTAAATAAAACGATCTAGTCGATCTTATCACATTCAATCCAATGGTAGCACATCCCTTGATTTTGAAGATCCACTCACATCATTCCATCAAAACTAGACTTCATTGTTCTCAATATCGAGGTTACCGATCTCGTTCAATAGTTCCAGAAAAAATAGTCCAGTAATATTAAATCTCTCAATACTAAAAATCTTTTCACATCTTTTCACGGAAACCTAATTTAATTTTTGTAAAAAATCCTGGTTAACGTTTCGGACCGAGATTTTTCTGTACCTTACTTGATCCGAGGAACGGAGGCAGTATTATTGTATATTGGCCACAAAGTTCTCAATGCATCAGAACCTTTGAGAACTTCAAGAACTCATACATAAATAGACAATTCCTGTCTGCCAGAAAGATATTTAGACAACGTCCTGTACGATTTATTGAACCCGTTGGATAAGGAATCCAACAAAGAGACCTATGATTGGACTCAAGTGAGGCGGAAACCATATTTACCTTACTTTCTTGATCTAGGAAGTTCACTCAGACTATTCACTATAACAATGGAAAATCTGGATTAACTTGCTCGCTGGGATCGATTTACCAAATGTACATGAGCTCGGGATCTGATCACATTATTCCATCAAAACCGAACTTCATTTATAAATCATACGATATTTTAGATCCAATTTCTCTTATATTCTTTATAGTCCTTTAATATTAAATAACAGAAACTTAGACACTTAAACTATTCAGCTTGTTCGGCAATGAAAACCTATTTTTGGAATCCCTTATGTTCTATACCCCTTAAAACCAAGAACCGTTTATATTTACTTCCCTTAAATTCTTCTTTTCAGAGTTATAAAACCACCATTGGTGAAAGAGGTTCTCAATTATCGGGAGGACAAAAACAACGTATTGCTATTGCCCGTGCCCTAATACAAAACCCCAAAATCTTACTCTTGGATGAGGCCACCTCTGCTTTGGATTATCAATCGGAAAAATTGGTACAGGAAGCTTTAGATTTTGCCTCCAAAGGCAGAACTACAATAGTTGTCTCACACAGACTTTCGGCCATAAGAGGTGCTGATAAGATTGTTTTCATACACGAAGGCAAAGTGCTAGAAGAAGGTTCCCATGACGATCTCATGGCTTTGGAAGGAGCTTACTATAATATGGTTAAAGCAGGAGAAATAAATGTGCCAGAACCTGAAAATATGGAAGATATAGATGAAGCGAAAAGTAAGTTTTAGAAATAATCCTGAACTTTAAAAGGTTATTTGTATGCTTTTATACTTTCCAGGAAATAGTCTAGCCATTTATGAAAAATCTTTCGAAACAAATCCCATTAATTTGGAAAAGAATCAAAAGAATAGCATACACTTGGATGAAAGTGAAATCATCAAAAAACTTCAAGTGCCTGAGGAAACGAATAAAAAGTCCGAGGCTAAACCCAATTTCTTTAAAACCTTTGGTCGCATTTTAAAATTAGCTCGCCCAGAAGCTTGCTTTATTGTTATGGGAGCTATTTGTGCCATAGGTTTTGGTTTTACCTATCCTGCTTTTTCGGTGGCTTTTGGCGAGTTCTATGCGGCTTTGGCGGAAAGTGAAGCTCAGGTGGCAATTGATCGTACGGCTGTTCTATCCATTTGTTGTTTGGTTTTGGGTGTTTTAACGGGTTTAGCCTGTTTCCTGCAAACTTATCTCTTTAACTATGCTGGTGTCTGGTTAACGACAAGAGTAAGATCCATGACCTTTAAGGCTATTATGAGACAAGAAATTGGTTGGTTTGATGAGGATATAAACTCAGTGGGTGCTTTATCGGCTCGCTTATCCGGAGATGCGGCTGGAGTGCAGGGTGCCATAGGTTATCCCTTAAGTGGTTTAATACAGGCGTTCTCCAATTTTGTTATAGGTTTAACTTTATCCTTCTATTATTCCTGGAAATTGGCTTTATTGTGTATGAGTACTTGTCCCATTATAGTGGGTTCGGTTATATTTGAAGCCAAGTAAGTTTTTTTATAAAAACTTTGGGAGGAATTTCTAATATAACTGAACAATTACAGATTTATGACCACCTCCATGATGCGTGAGAAAGTGGTATTGGAAGAGGCTTGTCGCATAGCTACCGAAGCCATTGCCAATGTTAGAACCATAGCTGGTCTGAGAAGGGAGCAACAAGTTATAGACAAATACAATAAAGAAATACACAAAGTTGAAGTTTTAATAAGACAAAAACTCAAATATCGCGGTTTGATAAATTCCTCGGGTCAAGCTTTTCTATTTTTCGCCTATGCTGTAGCTTTATGTTATGGTGGTGTTTTAGTTTCGGAGGGCAAAGTACCTTTCCAGGATATTATTAAGTAAGTTGTTACTATCTAAAAATCTGCACAATCTTTGATAAATGTTCTTTAACTTAAAGGGTTTCGGAGGTCTTATTATACGGCTCCATGATGTTGGCCCAATCTTTAGCTTTTGCTCCAGCCTTCACTGCCGCTTTAGTGGCTGGTCACCGATTATTCCAAATTTTAGATCGTAAACCCAAAATCACCAATTCAGCTTTACCGGCCAAAAATACCTTTGCTAAACAGTTAAATCTTTTTGAAGGCGTGCGCTTTAATGACATCGAATTCCATTATCCCACCAGACCGGATGTTAAGATTTTAAATGGTTTAAATTTGGAAGTCTTGCATGGTAAGACCGTGGCTTTGGTGGGTCATTCAGGCTGCGGCAAATCTACTTGCATACAATTGCTGCAACGTTATTATGATCCGGATAATGGCACTATAGTAAGTATTACAACTCTGTAACCATTACCTATATAACTAAAATCTCATAATTACAGCATATTAACAACGATGATGTGAAAACCGATTTGACTTTGGATAACCTGCGCAGTAAACTAGGTATAGTATCTCAAGAACCCTCCTTATTCGAACGTACCATCGCTGAAAATATAGCCTATGGTGATAATTCCCGTGATGTTAGTATGGCGGAAATTATAGCAGCCGCTAAAAGTGCCAATGCTCACTCTTTCATTATGGGTCTTCCTAATGGTTATGACACTAAAATGGGTGCTCGTGGTACACAACTATCGGGTGGTCAAAAACAACGTATTGCCATAGCACGAGCTTTAGTGCGGAATCCGAAAGTTTTACTATTAGATGAAGCCACTTCAGCCTTAGATTTACAAAGTGAGCAGTTAGTACAACAAGCTTTAGATGTCGCCTGCTCCGGTCGTACTTGCATAGTTATAGCTCATCGTTTATCGACTGTACAAAATGCTGATTTAATATGCGTGGTTCAAAATGGTCGCATTGTCGAGCAGGGTACACATCATCAATTGATGGCAAAGGATGGAATTTATGCCAAATTACATAAGACTCAAAAAGAACATTAAAAGTAGTGAAACAGCCATTTAGATTAATTAATAAAAAAATTTTAATATTATATTTTAACAAAATACAAGACTAAATATTAAGTGCACTTTAAGTTTTGCAAATAAAATAACAAGAAAAACGACAAGTGTGTTCATCAATTAATGAATTCAAGAAAATAGTGAAAATCTGTGATCGCTCATATATCCTATGATCACTTATATAGTTGATCAAAAGTCAATTTTTCTATGAAAAACCATAATCGGGCATAGATTCTTAAAAACGCCCTAAAAAAGAAAATGAAAATCAGTTTTTTAACGAAAACTTTAAACTGATCTTAAAAATATGTGATCAATGATCACTTATTTTTTTAACAAAATACGGTTTCTATACGAAAAACCTAAACTTAGCTTCAGATCTCTAAATTACGTTCCAATTATGAAAATAGAGAAGATCTGTGGTCCAGCAAAATAGATTTTTTATGAAAAAACCCTGCGACATCTCAAATACCGACTAAATTGAAAAATTTTAAATTTGTAAATAAAGAAAGAACTAGAACGAAAATACAACTGAACAAGAACTCAACTAGAACTAGAACTGAACTGAACTGAACTGAACTGAACTAGAACTGAACTAGAACTGAACTAGAACTGAACTAGAACTGAACTAGAACTGAACTAGAACTGAACTAGAACTGAACTAGAACTGAACTATAACTGAACTAAAACTGAACTAGAACTGAACTAGAACTGAACTAGAACTGAACTAGAACTGAACTAGAACTGAACTAGAACTGAACTAGAACTGAACTAGAACTGAACTAGAACTGAACTAGAACTAGAACTAGAACTGAACTAGAACTGAACTATAACTGAACTAGAACTGAACTAGAACTAGAACTATAACTGAACTAGAACTAGAACTAGAACTGAACTAGAACTGAACTAGAACTGAACTAGAACTGAACTAGAACTGAACTATAACTGAACTAGAACTGAACTAGAACTGAACTATAACTGAACTATAACTGAACTATAACTGAACTAGAACTGAACTAGAACAGAACTAGAACTGAACTAGAGCTGAACTAGAACTGAACTAGAACAGAACTAGAACTGAACTAGAACTGAACTAGAACTGAACTAGAACTGAACTAGAACTGAACTAGAACTGAACTAGAACTGAACTAGAACTGAACTAGAACTGAACTAGAACTGAACTAGAACTGAACTAGAACAGAACTAGAACTAGAACTGAACTAGAACTGAACTAGAACTGAACTAGAACTGAACTAGAACTGAACTAGAACTGAACTAGAACTGAACTAGAACTGAACTAGAACTGAACTAGAACTGAACTAGAACTAAACTAGAACTGAACTAGAACTGAACTAGAACTGAACTAGAACTGAACTAGAACTGAACTAGAACTGAACTAGAACTGAACTAGAACTGAACTAGAACTGAACTAGAACTGAACTAGAACTGAACTAGAACTGAACTAGAACTGAACTAGAACTGAACTAGAACTGAACTAGAACTGAACTAGAACTGAACTAGAACTGAACTAGACTGAACTAGAACTGAACTAGAACTGAACTAGAACTGAACTAGAACTGAACTAGAACTGAACTAGAAACTGAACTAGAACTGAACTAGAACTGAACTAGAACTGAACTAGAACTGAACTAGAACTGAACTAGAACTGAACTAGAACTGAACTAGAACTAGAACTGAACTAGAACTGAACTAGAACTGAACTAGAACTGAACTAGAACTGAACTAGAACTGAACTAGAACTGAACTAGAACTGAACTAGAACTGAACTAGAACTGAACTAGAACTGAACTAGAACTGAACTAGAACTGAACTAGAACTGAACTAGAACTGAACTAGAACTGAACTAGAACTGAACTAGAACTGAACTAGAACTGAACTAGAACTGAACTAGAACTGAACTAGAACTGAACTAGAACTGAACTAGAACTGAACTAGAACTGAACTAGAACTGAACAGAACTGAACTAGAACTGAACTAGAACTGAACTGAACTAGAACTGAACTAGAACTGAACTAGAACTGAACTAGAACTGAACTAGAACTGAACTAGAACTGAACTAGAACTGAACTAGAACTGAACTAGAACTGAACTAGAACTGAACTAGAACTGAACTAGAACTGAACTAGAACTGAAATAGAACTGAACTGAAAAAACTGGAACTGACTAGAACTGAACTAGAACTGAACTAGAACTGAACTAGAACTGAACTAGAACTGAACTAGAACTGAACTAGAACTGAACTAGAACTGAACTAGAACTGAACTAGAACTGAACTAGAACTGAACTAGAACTGAACTGAACTAGAACTGAACTAGAACTGAACTAGAACTGAACTAGAACTGAACTAGAACTGAACTAGAACTGAACTAGAACTGAACTAGAACTGAACTAGAACTGAACTGAGAACTGAACTGAACTAGAACTGAACTAGAACTGAACTAGAACTGAACTAGAACTGAACTAGAACTGAACTAGAACTGAAATAGAACTGAACTACAACTAAACTAGAAATGAACTAGAACTGAAGTAGAACTCAACTGGAACTGAACTAAAACTGAACTGGAACTGAACTAAAACTGAACTAGAACTGAACTACAACTGAACTAGAAAAAAAATAGAACTGAACTAGAACAAAAATAGAACTGAACTCGAACTATTGGATAGGGGCCTTATCGGTTCACATGATGCACGCGATAAGTTCAGTAATATTACGTTTTTGCAACAAAGCCCCGCAGAGTAGAGGCTGCAGGACCAATAGTTGAGAATGATATAATAGTATTGGAATACAGAATAAATGTGTCGGATACTTTTTTCACTGAGTGTGTCGGATGAACGAGTGGAATGAAGTTGTTGCATTCCCATTCGTCTGTTATTGATAAAATAAATGCCCCCTGCGAGTAAGATCTTGTATTTAGTTTATTTAATGGACCGATTAAGACTTTAGGTGATGTTGCCTAATCAACAGAGGCCATTCCATCTGCGTGGTTGAAAATTAAAAAAAAAAACCTGAAACATCTCGGAAGTTGTGGAAGGAGACAGCGATGGTCAGAGAATATGTGTAGTACTAGAGTAAAGCATTTTTATATGGTCCCATATACGCCATGTATACAAATTTCTACCTGAATGTTCCATGGGGATCACAAGGGGCGGTGTTTGCAAAAGACCACCATGAAATAAGTCCGATAAGGCAAGTGTTCACCTAAAGCACTCCGGATTCATTCCCTCTCATGAATTATATAAATTTGGTGGCGAATTAATACTCTCAATACTGCCGATCAAGTGTCTAGATACGTTAGATATAAAATCATTTCATAAGGAAGCAATAACTTTAATTTATTAATTCAATTATATTTGTTCTTTCAAATATTTCTTGGTCAAGGTCGTTCAATAACTGCCGTCATTGAAAGATGCAATAAAAAGAAATTCCCATAAGTTATAATTGTTTAAAAAAAATTAACATGTATATTGTTTCTATTTCCCATTAGTTTCTACTTATACGCAAAAAAAATGGCTTTTTATAGAATAGAAAAAGCAAAAAAAAAAGAAATGTGAACAATTTTACAATAACTATAAATTGTTCCCAGCAATAATGTCATGTAGAATAAATTGTCTTTACAAAGACAGTAAATCAATTTCAATTAATGTTAATAAAATCAATTTTTGTGGTTAAAATATTTGAAATGCTGAAAGAAAAAGTTAACATGATTTAAGATTTAAAACGATTTGAAATAGCGGAGACAAAAACCACAACAGAGTTGATATCCTATTAATAAAAAATCTTATTTACTAAAGATTCGAGAATTATTTAGGAGTAAGTTGCATTGAATTTGAATTGAATTTTACAATTTTCATTGTTCTATCTGTACAATTTCTCTAAGTGTATATATTGTATCTTTAATCATAGCATTACCATGATGCAATCAAATTTCCAATGTGTTTGTTCTTACTAAATTGTCCTAATGTTTATAAAAGCTAAACGAATCGGTATCTAGTTCCTTAGTTTCCTCTACGAAAGTTATTTAGTTAAAACGTGCAAGCAGCTGTTGCTGCAAAGACTGTGTAACCGCAAATTATTTAAATAAAAAATATAGTTTCGTTTAAGATGACACTACATTTTTAAATGCCAAAGAAATGTTGCCAATAAAAATTAATTTAACATAAAAATCGTAATAAAAGTGTTATTTTCACGTGTGTTTGAGGGTGTTTAAACAAAATTTCAAATAATTAAAAAAAAATATGTAATAATAAAAAAAGGCGCACAATGAATTCACATTTTGATAAGATTCGCTTATTTGTTGAAGCAATAAAAATTTTAATTGCAGAGATTTGAAAAAACCAACTCTACTACATTCATAATCGTTCACATTTGAACATTCTAAGCACCTTCTTCGTTGCCTTAAATATTTTATTACAGCAAAAGCTTGTAAAGTGTTTTGATAAGGAGGAAAATATAAATAATGTAAACGATTTGAAAAAAAACGTAATTACAGAAAAGTTAATTAAAAGCCAATAGAATTAACTTAATCTAGGAAATAAACAATAGTTAATATCGATTTTCCGCATTTAGTAGTGTCCTTACTCGGTGTCAAAACAAAAATTGTTTGTTGGTTGACGCTGACGCAGTACCATTTATTTAAATAATGAATTGAAGGCCTGTAGGGAGTACACAGTGGTTATTAAAATTTATAATGCACATCAGACAATGCAAATTTAAATTTAAATTATGTATGTAGTAATAACTGATAACTAAAAGAGCTCTTTTTAGGTTTCAAAGAACTAAACTAATTTTCCCCCAGACTATAGACCGACAACAGACTAGACTATAGACAAGGCAATAGACTGGACTAGACTATATCCTAGACTATGGACTAGACTATAGACTAGTTTATAAACTAGACAATAGACTAGACTAAACTTTAGACTAGACTATAGACTTGACTATAGACTAGACTATAGACTAGACTATAGACTAGACTATAGACTAGACTATAGACTAGACTATAGACTAGACTATAGACTAGACTATAGACTAGACTATAGACTAGACTATAGACTAGACTATAGACTAGACTATAGACTAGACTAT